CCTGCTCTGCACTTCCTCCCCCAGACCAGAAGACTTAAGTGCTTGGAGAACACGCTCAGAACCTCCCAGCAGCGATACAGGCAACATCACCAAGGGAAACGCCTCCCTCGCACCCGTCCAAGAGCGCAGCGTTACCCAAAGCCACTTCCCCCAAAGTCCCACCTCACTCTGCGCACTCCAGCCCGCGCCTTTGCCCTCCCCTCTCCCGTCACCTCCGCATCACGGCTCGGCTTTGGTGGCCTCCCGCAGGGAAGGAGATGCCTGCCAGCGAGACACCCTGGAAGCCCAAAAGGAAGAAGCTCTTCACACCTGCATCCCCGCAACAGCTCCCAGAGGAAGGACACCTCCTCACCCCGGGGTCTACTGCGGGCTGAGCCTGGACTCCTACAACCTCCACGTCCAGCTTTTTACGCGCTCCTCGGTCCTTTCAGACACCTGGTCTTGTCCAACCCTCCCTTTCGAGAGAGACAGTGCTCCCTGGGGGCTTCGTGTGCCACCCCTTTCTGGGGGCCACCTTCTGCAAAGGGAGCCAGCTGGGACACTTTGTTCACCGGGGAGAGGCTCTTTGTCACGGGAGGCATGAAGTGCTATGAGGGGAACACACGGAGGGGCCCTTGGCTCCCTGCATTGCTCTGGGCAGCAAGAGAGTACCTTTTCTGCCAGCCTCCGCAGCCACTTCTTTCTCGGAGGTGGCATCCGTATGCACAAACCTGGAAACAAGCAGGAGACAGCGGTTTCGAGAAGGGGCAGCACAGGCTCTTGCAGCCTCCACTAAGCAGCTGGTCACGGGGAGAGTGGAGAGCTGCTGTCAAGCCTCTGGTCTGCCAAAGCAGAAGACAGCATGTGGTCAGCACATATCTTAGGAAGGTGAGTACACACAACCCCAGTGCTGGGAAGGGCACAAGAGGCCCCAACCACAGCTCTTGTTTCCACCTGCTTGGGATGTACCTTCTCAGAGATGCTTTTCCGGAAGAAGACACATGCAGGAAAGAGGAAGATCTTGGGCACTGGGCCTTGTCTTTTTCAGCCTCAGCCAAAAGAAAGGGCAGGAGCACAAGAAGCTCTGCGCCAAGTGGGGCCTAACTTCCTCTCCCACACAGGGCGGGAACAGAAAGCAGGCCCTCCTCCAGCTGACTTCACCCCAACAGACAGGGCTTCCCAACAAAGCATGGCTGACCACGCACTTCACTGAGAAGCCCTCGTCTGACAAACTTCTTCCCCGCTAGCTTCAGGAGGAGACAAGCCCTGGCAACGAGGCCCTCGGCAGCTCTCGGTGGCTCTACCAAGTGGGAGATGAGAAGCTGCATGCTCGGTCCGTCAAGGGCTGCAGAAGGAAACCTACTCTCTGTGGGAACAAGAAGACACCCCCCAGCAGGCATCTGGAAAACAGCCGTCTCCCTGTGGGTGATGATCAAAGGCCTCAGCCTTGGCTTCTGCAACAGAGACCGAGACCCATGAGGCCACCCCCAGGAAATGAGCCCCTTGCTCACAAGGCAAACAGTTGCCCACCAGCCACATGAGAAGCTGCCTCTCCACAACTCTCTCACCAAGTGCTCTTGCACCAACATCAGCCCCTCTCCCAACTTGTGCCTGCAGCCCAGCAAAGCCCTGAGAATGGGCAGCAACACTGCCAGACTTTGGGCAAGGGCAAGAATCAGGAGACTCCCTCAGGAGACTCGGTCTTGCCTAAAGGAGAAGTCAACGGAAGCTAGCACGACGCAAGGCTTTGTGGTAGCTGGCCTCTCTGGTGGCTGCCTTTGCTCTCTTTGCTTGCACGGACCATTGCTGAAGACAGAACAGGGAGTCCAAGCAGTGCGGCCAACCCCCAAGTCTCTGCTGACACTCAAACGGCTGCATCTGTAGCTGCAGGAAGAGAGACACGCAGCCCTCCTTCCTTCCTGGCACGCTCAGGGAAACCTGGGACAGCCAAAGCCCCGAGAGCTGGAACAACAGCAAGCGGGGGGCCCGGTCCGAGACCCGTCACTGCAGCACAGGCTGCAAAGGGCTGGTCAGTGCAGCGACACCAGCAGAGCAGGACGGCAGGGCCTTGGTCCGTTGGTGCCTCTGCGTCCTGCCCAGAGACAGCATCTCTACAGCGTCGCTTTCTGGGAGGAGGAGGGCAGGCACTGGGAGAAGCACCAAGACAAACCTGCCCCGGGCTTATACTCTTTCCTAGCACAAAGGGACATGGGCTACCGGGCTGGATCTTTGCTCTGACCAAAGACAGCTTCTCAGAAGGGCTTCTGTGTCGCCAAGTCTCTCCTGAAGGCCAGACAAGAAGTCTGCCGAGAGCTCGCGTTCCTGTAAATCAAGGCGAGCGCAGGGGACGAGGCAGGCCAAGGCTTTGACCAGGAAGCAGGAGCAGGAGAGGCAGTGCTGAAAAGAGGCCCGACTTATGCTGAGGAAAGATTTTGCCAAGTTCCTGGTCCTACCTACTTTGTAAATAAAGTCTTCAAAGAATCTCATCAGCACTCCAGGATGCTGAAGTTCTTGAAGACAAAGTCCAAATCCTTGCTCGTGGACAAGGCCCACACAAAGACTTTCAGGGTCGCCTCTATACGTCTCAGCACCTTCCCCTTCGGAACGTGCGGCCGCAGTGCAAGCTGGGCCTAGTTCAACTCCACAGCTTGGGAATAGGCTGGAAACAAAGCATCGAGCAACAAAGTGACTTGAGCAGCCCTTCAGCAGACCCCAAACACCCTGCAGCACAACAGACAGCCCCTCAGGAGGCTTCTCGCCCCCCCCTTCCACCCCACCTACTCTCCATGGAGCAGCCAACGTCTTGCCTGCGGGGGCCACAGCCCCGTCCCCACACCCCCTGCTCTCAGCAGCAAAGAGGAGATGGCATCAGTGGAAGGGAAGAACCACTCCAAACACAGCCCCCACCCCGTGCTGCTCCACACTCACCATCAAGGGCATCCTGGGGCTCTCCATGGCCTTGGGGCAAACCCGCTCCCCCGTCTCTGCTTCGTGCCTGACTGCGGCTCGCTTAGGCCCCTTGTCCCCACAAGGCAGCTGGCAGGGCCAGCAACAACGCTGGCACTCGCCTTCCACAGTGCGCCAGGCTTTCTGCCCTGCCAGGAGGAGCTCGAGAAGGCCCTGAAGAAGCGAGCTCACAGTCTGCTTCTCCAGCTGGGCTTTGCTTTTTCTCTCCATTGAGGGAGACGTGGCTCTGGGGCAAAACTGACACAAAACTGCAGGCTCCTGCTGGGGCATTTCTTCTGCTTTCAGCAGTGGCAAGGAATAAGGCTGCTCCATGGCAGGATGGAAGCGGGGGCTCAGCACTCATGAGGGTTGGAAGGAGGGTGAGGAGACAAGACCCACCTGGTTCAGCAGCAAGAGGAAGACATGCCATGCTTGAAGTCAGACAAGCTCACCACCATCCCACCTGCTCCAAACCAAGCTCCAAGATGCCAGCATCATCCCCACCACCACCAGCATCCTCGCAAGGACCCGCGGCGGAGGGGCCTGCAGAGCTGAGTTTTTACCTGACATCCGACTAGAAGCCCTCTGCTGACCCCACGAGAAGTCTGGAGCTGAAACGAAGGCACGAGAAGGGCTTTGGACGAGGGGCTCCTCCCATCCGAAAGGGGAAGGGGGCTCTGAGGTCGCAGCCTCTTCCCTGCTCTGGAGGCACAAGCGGATCCCAGAAGAAACCAGAGGCGGTGGCTAGCTTTTTCCAAGAAGCCAAGCTCAGCAGAAGGAACTACAAGGTCTTGCGAAGGAAACGAGCCACCCCTAACGAGCGCGTTTCCAGCAGGCTCTCTGGAGGCCAGGGCACCTCAGCCTTCTTCACGCTTCCTTTCCTGGCAGATCCTCCTCGCCGCACCTCATCCTCTCCTTGGCCAAAGCTGCCA